ACATTTTCTAGGTGTTATTGGTTGCTGGATATGACTATTGGAAGTTGTAGTAGAATCCTTTTTATACGCCCACATTGAAATGTGGTCGTACATTGTCGTCACCCCTGTCCGTCCGGCCGCCTAAAGTTAATATCTGATTGACTTTAAATTTGTATACAGTGTTTAAGGCCAGGAGACGAAGAAACCTATTGATTTTCAGATAATTACTGCCAGAGTTATGGCCCTTGATCACTTAAACAATCTTGTGGCCGCTCTAGAGGCTAAAGTTAATATCCGATTGACTTTAAATTTATACACAGTGTTTAAGGTCATGAGACGAAGAAGCCTATTGATTTTCAGCGATCGATTTCCGATAATTACTGCGAGGTTTGTGGCCTTGATCACTTCAAAAAATCTTGTGGACGCTCTAGAGGTCAAAGTTAATATCCGATTGACTTTAAATTTATACACAGTGTTTCAGGTCATGAGATAAAGACGCCTATGGATTTTCAGCGATTTCAGATAATTACTGCCAGAGTTATGGCCCTTGATCATTTTGAAAAATCTTGTGGCCGCTCTAGAGGCTAAAGTTAATATCCGTTTGACTTTAAATTTATACACAGTGTTTAAGGTCATGAGATGAAGTATGTCTGCCAGAGTTATGACCCTTGATCACTTCAAAAAATCTTGTGGCCGCTCTAGAGGCTAAAGTTAATATCCGGTAGATGTTAACTTTATACACAGTATTTAAGGTCATGAGACAAAGAAGTCTATTCATTTTCAGTGATTTTCGATAATTACTGCCAGAGTTATGGCCCTTGATCACTTCAAAAAATCTTGTGGATTCTCTAGAGCCTGAAGTCATGAGACGAAGAATCCTATGGATTTTCAACGATTTCCGATAATTACTGCCAAAGTTATGGCCCTTGATCACTTTGAAAAATCTTGTGACGCTCTAGAGGCTAAAGTTATCATCCGATTGACTTCAGATTGATTACACAGAGTTTAAGATCTTGAGACAAACAAGTATATTGATTTTCAATTAATTTTTATGACTTGAACAGCTAAATCCATGATTTTGTTTTTTTAAGTTTGAAATCTCTCTTCTGTTTTTGGCAGTAGTGCGGCTTATTTGTTTCCTTGTTCGCAATTTTGGATCCGGTAATTTTACGATTAGTCTATATTCAGATGATATACTATGATTTGCAGCTGTGCTAGAGTCGTATTCAGAACCAAAATCAGTTGTACTTATTTCACTTAAAATACTTTCATCTAATCTTTTCTTCATCTCTCACCCATTTTCGTACTTTTTCGCACCTCTTCTTTAAAACCTTTTATTGGCATTTCGCAAACAGGAACATAATACTCCTTTGTCCTTTATCTTCTTTGGCTAAATATATTTCACCTTCTTTGGCCTTCTTTCTCTCTCTTTAGTTTCTTTGAATCTCTGCTCGTGTTTTACCCATCGATAATTAATATTCTGAAAAGATATAAAGAGTATAATCAGATGATTTAAACCTGTAATCTACGTTACTGTATATGTAATTTACGTTACGCTCAACTTAATTGGCTTTTAGATAAAATGAAAGTATATACACCCTTAATAAAACCAATAAATGATCATGACATGTAACACTGAAACATACACCGGATAAGAGTCTTACATAGAAATAAAAATTAAATCCAATCACAGTAATAATGAAATGTAATTTACGTTACCCATCCCGCAGTGGACATCATAATATCATATAATTTACTGTTTTGCTTTCAAAGGTGAGCGTTAAATTTCATGACATATCTATTTAATTTAGAATAAACTTATTGCGAAAAACTTTTACTGGGCATCGGCTATTGAAGATCAATTCAAAAATGTACTGTAGTAATTCAATATCAGTACAATTTTAAAAAGGAATATATCATATTTTACTTACAGATAACTGTTATTCTAACAGTTTCTGTTTTCCTCGTTTTTCTAAAAATAACAAATTTACTAAATAAATAGGTCATTTGAGTCATTGGTTCAATTTTCAATAAATAGGTGAGTCTTACTAAGGTTATTTTCAATAATTCAAAACTAAAAATACATCATTTAACAGTGGTTTTCTTTGGCAAGAGTGACAGGCTAGTGCCTCTTTAAAATTATGAACACTTGATGAGCCAAATGTTAGGCCTAAAAAGGTAGTTAAATAATATTTATTATTAATCTAAAAACAGAAAATAATGAATGTGAATTAATTGTAAATTGATTTTAAACAACTGAACAAGGCCTTAATTTTATGTGAGGGCAATCTTGACTATTTTTGGTATTTCGCCTGTCCATACACTAGGCCTAAATTATACTCATATAGTCAACTGTGTGTTGTACACCGGGTATGGTAGGAAATATGACAATAATTATATGGGCCTCAACACCTTATGGCTTTATAACAGGACTACCATGGAATTCGTAGATGTTAATGCCAATTTACAGGAGCTGGGTTGTGTGGTTATTGTTCATGTAATAATATATAGCCTACCTTATTGACTGTATCATGAGTTCTTTTCCTTTTCAAGACTGGTGGTTGATCCCTTGAAGTGGATCTTGTAGAAGACCTTGATGTTGTTTTTTTCTATATTCAAACACTTTTAGTAGTACATGTTTGTTATTTTTTTGCCTGGATGAAACTTGAAATATAGGTTTATCTCCAAAAGATCTCGTTTCCTTTTGATATTGGCATGTATCTGACCTTAAGTTCATGGATTATGACCTGATTGTACAAAAAATCACGTTTTTTTGCTTGTGGACACTCTAGTCGTGACAATTTTTATCTGATTTTGATGAAGCCTGAGATGTATTTTTATAACCCAAGGATTTCAGTTCTTTTCAATATTCGCGCATATCAGACAGTAACTTCCTGGATTATGGCCCCTGATTGTCCGAAAAATCAAGTTTTTAGTTTGTGGTCCCTCTAAAGGTCACAATTTTTATTGGATTTAAAAAAACGTTATAATATATGACCATTTGATATTCGCGCATTTCCGACCATAACTTTCTGCATGGCAACTGCTGGTTATGAAACGAAGAACCCTTTTGATTTTCAACAATTTCTGATAATTACTGCTTGATCACTTTGAAATATCTTGTTGATGCTTAATATTGGAGGCTAATGTTATTATCTGATTCACTGTGTTTAAGGTCATGAGATGAAGAATCCTATTGATTTTCAATGATTTACACAGTATTTAAGGTCATGAGAGAAAGAAGTCTACTGCCATAGTTTTGGCCTTTGATGACTTTGAAAAAAATCTTGTGGATGCTTGCCTTGAGAGGATAAAATATCCGATTGACCTTAAATTTATACACAGTGTTTAAGGTCATCAGATGAAAAAGCCTATTTGATTTCAACGATTTCTGATAATTACTGCTAGAGTTATGGCTCTTGATCACTTTGAAAAATCTTGTAGATTTTGTTTTGCGTGTAGTATGGTACTCCTGCACTTACTATTAGAGACTAAAGTTAATATCCGATTGACTTTATATCTATACGATGTTTAAAGCCTGGCGCACACTACATGGCGACATTGGCGATTTCGGTCACCGACGATGAAAAATCAAAAACTCGCCTAGTGTGCGCACTCGATCGGTAGTGATTTTTCATCGCCAGCAACCATCGCGGCGATGGTCGCCAATATCAGACATGTTTGATATGATCGTCTAAGTCGTCGCTTCGTCGGCAACAAATCGTGTAATGTGCTCACCTCAGCGACAACCAGGGAAATAAATCCACCTATTAAACCAATCATTTTTCGTTATTCTTCTCATGTGACATAACCACACACGATGTTTTCCGATTTTTTTTCTGTTGCATGCATAAGTGGCTCGGGTAATCTAATTAAGGCCTAACTAATTGAAATTAAATGACACTTATTAAATGTGTGAGCTGTCGTATACATGGTAGGCCCAGTGGATTGTTCCGTTTGTATAGCAATATACTCAATATAGTCCCAGGATTTATAGATGGTAATTAGAATAGGTGTTTTTTCCCAGTATCTGTAGCGAAAAAACGGAGGGTGACAGTCAATCGCTGTCCTGGGCTTATTGATTGTCGCATCTTGGTTGTTTGTTTGGTAATGAGAGGATTAATTATATTTAGGATACTCTGGCATATTTCTGGACTCAATTTGAGCTCGTTACATGGAATACTATAAACGTACTGCACTTGACCGGCGTTGTACTAAGACGGCGACGGCGCCGCCTGATCACCATTTACAAAACAATATTAATTGAAGTATTCAACGCGATGACGACTAAAATGCATTTAGAGGTGCCACATGACGAAGCACGTGACAGGGTTTTTCTTTCATGATCGCCAAAGTCGTCGTGTAGTGTGCTCACTCCTCTTCTGTTGCCGCGATATTTGTCGCCAAACTCGTCGCATAGTGTGCGCCAGGCTTAAGGTCATGAGACAAAGAAGCCTATAAATTTTCAACGATTTTTGACAATTATGGCAATTGATATTAATGTTTTGTATGCTAAATGTTAGAATACAGTAGAAGCCAAATGGGTTGTTACCCATAATCAGATTTTAGTGTTTTGTAAATGTTTTCATTTATACAAAATATGCAACAACCCTTGTTGACTCCCTGGACGACTTAGCTGCTGTGGGCGTATGTTTCGTTGACTAGCAACCTATCTTTAACAATTTCCATGTGGTGTATCACCATTGATTAGTTTCAAAAATCTTGTGTATGACAAAGAAGCCTTTTGGTTTTTGATTATTTCAATCATTGCAGTTATTGCCCTTTTATCACTGATTGTGAATTGGTAACGTGAAGAAACCTATCGATTTTCAGCATTTCTGACCAATAGTTACTGCCATTTATTATCAACCTGATTTTTTTGGAAATTATAAGATTGTTTAAATGGTCATATATGTTACTCAAAACCAAATTATATTTTAAAAAAAAACAAATTTTTATTGAGAGCCCTGCGATGATCGTGATCTCAGTAATGTATGTTTGATTGTGTGTCTAAAATTCAGGACTGAAGTGGAAATATTTGAAAAAATATCACCTTTGTTTGAAGCTGATTATTTACTACCAAGAATCTTTGTTGCTGCATTACCATTGGAAAAAGTTTTCATTGTAATAAGAACTAGATTAATAGCACCAGAAATATGCTGTGCTACTCTGTGCTATCATTTAAAGGCATCAATGAGTTATTATTTCAACATAGCAACTAAAAAAGTAAGTATACAAATACTGCAGGTAATAAATTGATAATCAAAGTGGCAACTAACCGTTTTTTCTATGTGACTATCCCGCCTGGGGTGTAGGGGGTGACGGTGTGCCTTAAAAGGCGATTAAATCAATCCATGTAATGGGACAACTTGGTTGCCATGCCTTTCAACCCATGTCAGTGGAGAGTGGAGTTTTGGGTATTGAGCATGCAAGCCCTTTTTGTACGCCCACATTGAAATGTGGACGTAAATGTCATTGCTTGTGGACGCCCTAGAGGCTAAAGTTAATATCCGATTGACTTTAAATTTATACACATTGTTTAAGGTCATGATATAAATCAGACCATGAAATTGAAAAGGCCTTTATAAACCCGGATGAAGGATCAGGTTTCCATGAAACAAAACTGGGCATTCAGCCTAGAAGCAAACATATCAATTTCTGGTAAGCGCTACCCTGTTGTTGTTGTCTCCAGCCTTTCGAAGAAAGCAGGGGACTATTAAAATGGGTTCGTCAGTCTGTCTGTCTGTCTGTCTGTCCATCCATCTGTCTGTCCGTCTGTCTGTGTGTCCGTCTCACTTTTTGGGACACAATAACTCTCCTTCTAATTCAGCTAGAATGTTCAAACTTGGTGTAGGTGTTTATGAGGTCAATGCCTTGATGGAGTTCCAAGATAGGCATTTTCTGCTTAGGGTAAGCACAGATAAGCAATTTGATGGGTTGACGCTTTGGGACACGATAACTTTAGTTCTAATTAAAGATACATTATGGGAGATTCGATAACGAGTTGGCAGTTCTCACTGTAATAATTAAAAACGAGATAACGCAAAGGCAATTTGCTGAAAATTTCATTCAAATTGATCCACTATGAACCGAGAACTAAGCGAATGAAATTTCTGCCTAGCCTCGGTCATCATTACTAAAGTCAGTACGATAAACAGCATAGTCTCGATTATCCATTTAATCGTTTAATCGAGAAGGAAAGTTATGCAGTAAATCGGCTCACAATCCACTTAAGATCGCAGGCTAGGGATGCCATCTAGAGTTGATTATGGCCTGGAAAAGTTTATTAATGTCTAATTAATAATTTAGATAACATTTCAGGCCTAAAGAAAGACCTGCAATAAACTGATTTAGCTCTTGCATAATGTATGTTTAAGTGAGAGTGAGGAAACTTGGGTATAGTTTCATTACATCAATACCTTGACTTAGTTCAATAATGAGCATTTTCTGCTCTGGGTAACCAGAGCTTTAAGCAATTTAATTGGTCGAGACTTTGGAAAACAATAACTCTACTTCTAATTAAGGTAGAATGTTCAAACTTGGTGTAAGCGTTCAGTAGGTGAATGCCTTGATGGAGTTCAATGATAAACATTGTCTGCTTAATGTAAGCAGAGATAAGCAATCTGATTGGTTAATGCTTTCGGGCAAGATAACTTTGGTTTTAATTATGTGAGAGTCATGAAACTTAGTGTGTAGATTCATTATATCATTACCTTGACTAAGTTAGGCTAAGGATCGATAAGGAATTTGATTGGTCAAGACTTTTGAACATAACAACTCTGCTTTTAATTGAGGTAGAATGTTTAAACTTGATGTAGATGTTAATTAGGTGAATGTCTTGACTGAGTTCAATGATTAACATTTCGAACTAAAGCTAAGCAGAGCTAAGTAATTTCATTGGTCGATGCTTTGGGACAAGATAACGAGTGACGAAACTTAGTGTATAGTTGATAATCAGTTTGATTGCTTGATACTTTTGAAAAAATAAATGTGCAATTAATTAATATGTGTCATCTATTTAAATTGGGATTTTGGATGGGGGACATTAGCCTCACTGTTGGCTTGTTGATTTGAAAATTTCTTTGGACAACGTCAGGATTTCCACTTAAAAATTTTCACTATCGGGCATTTTTATACGCCCTCAATGAAATGTGGTCGTATATTGTCGTCGCCCCCGTACGTCCAGCGTCCAATATCCGATTGACTTTAAACTTATATACAGTGTTTAAGGCCATGAGACGAAGAAGCCTATTGATTTTCAGCGATTTCCGATAATTACTGCCAGGGTTATGGCCCTTTATCACTTCAAAAAATCTTGTGGATGCTCTAGAGGCGAAAATTAATATCCGATTGACTTTAAATTTATACACATTGTTTAAGGTCAGGAGACGAAGAAGCCTATTGATTTTCAGTGATTTCCGATGATTACTGCCAGAGTTATGGCCCTTGATCCCTTCAAAAAATCTTGTGGCCGCTCTAGAGGCCAAAGTTAAAGTAGCTAAATCTCTAACTCAATATCATCCAAAATCTTCGACATTGAAAACACGAATTATTTGTCAATTTAAATCAACATTGATGTTGTGATCTTACCGAGAAAAGGTGGGCTTCTGATATCCAATATTTAAGACAAAATTCACATTTCACAATTGGTACACGAATCGTGTACCATAATGCATTTCAGTGCCATTTGTAATAATGGACTCGAAAAAAGAGGGTAGGCATTTTCACTAGACATGTCAAACGGTGACGGCATATTCGTATTCTGAAGAGCATGCGCAATAAATACTATCGGAGTAGACTGGAATAACCAGACCCTAGAGATTGGCATTCGATTGAGACTTCTGGCGTATTTCGCCGAACATAACTGATTAGAAATTACAGTAAAAACAGAAACGATTGAAGGTGGGCTTCTGATATCCAATATTAAGACAAAATAAACATTTCACAATTGGTACACGAATCGTGTACCATAATGCATTTCAATGCCATTTGTAATAATGGACTCAAAAAAAGAGACTAGGCATTTTCCACTAGTCATGTCAAACGGTGACGGCATATTCGTATCTGAAGAGCATGCGCAATAAATACCATCGGTGAAGACTGGAATTACCAGACGCTAGAGATTGGCATTCGATTCAGACTTCTGGCGTATTTCGCCGAACATAACTGATTAGAAATTACAGTAAAAACAGAAACGATTGAATGTAAATCAGTTTATATACATTCATATTACATTATTATATGCGTTGTGACCCATTTGTGTCAATTTCTAGGCCCCAAATATTAGCGATTTGGCCCCTTTAATATCTGATTGACTTTAAATTTATACACAGTGTTTAAGGTCATTTGACGAAGAAGCCTATTGATTTACAGAGATTTCCAATAATTACTGCCAGAGTTATGGCCCTTGATCGCTTTGAAAAATCTTGTGACGCTCTAGAGGCTAAAGTTATCATCTGATTGACTTCAGACTGATACACAGAGTTTAAGACCTTGATATGAACAAGTAAATTTTTATGACTTAAACAGCTAAATCCATAACTTTATAAAAACCAAACAAATTCTAATGGTTTTCTGATAATTACTTCATGAGTTGTTACTCTTGATCAGATTTTAGTGTGTTATAAATGTTTATAAAAGTAGTGTATTATAAAAGTAAAAATATGCGACAACACTTGTTGACTGCCTAGACGATTTAGCTGCTGTGGGCGTATGTTTCATTGCCTGGCAACCTATCTTTTAGCTTGTGGATCCCGTAGGGGTCACAATTTTTATCCGATTTAAAAAAACCTGTTACAATATATCACCGTTACACCCTAAGGATGGTTGAGTTCGAATTTCGTAAAAATCGGATCGAAACTGACAGACAAAATGCCGCCCCCCCCCCCCCCTCGTTCGCAAACAGTGTCAAAAAGTTGTGTATCAGGGTTGTGGACCCTCTGGAGGTCACAATTCTCATCTGATTTTGATGAAACTTGAAATGCATGTTTATAACCCACAGATCTCATTTACTTTAGATATTCGCGCATATCGGACGATAACTTCCTGAATTATGGCCCCTGATTGTACGGAAAATCACGTTTTTAGCTTGTGGACCCCATAGAGGTCACAATTTTTATCCGATTTAAAAAATCGCTGAATATATCACCATTACACACTAAGATCTTGGTTCCTTTTGATAATCGCAGATACCCGAACTTAACTTCCTGATTGGTCGAAAAATCGCATTTTTAGCTTGCAGATTCTCTAGAGGTCAGAATTTTTTTCCGATTTTAAAAAACATTTAAATACATCACCATTCTGCCATAATGAAGTTTGAATTCGTATTTTGGGAAAATCGAAATAAAAATGGACGCTCTTTGTACACAAATTGTGTAGAAGTGTGTAATATGAAGGTTGTGGACCCTCTAGAGGTCACAATTTTTATCCGATTTTGATGAAACTTAAAATATATCTTTAGATCCCAAAGATCTCTATTCCTTTTGATATTTGCACATTTCAGGCCATAACTTTCTGGATTATTGCCCCTGATTGTACAAAAAATCCCTTTTGTTTTTATCTTGTTCTCTATCCATCTCTTGCAAAATGTGGGCGTATCCTGCCTGGCAGCTGCTGGTGAAACAAAATTTATACAAGCTATATATATTTAGAAATGTCGACAAATATTTCTATTGGAATACCGTATGTAGTTATAGACGATAGCAGAAGTTTGACTTGACTGTACGACTAAGAGTGCTATTAGCAGACGATGTTTATTTTTATTATCATTTATATAACCAGGAATGGCCCCTTACACGCAGTTATTGATCTTCAGAACCATTTCCCATACATGCAACTAACCACTCTTCTTGGTATCAGATCACTCTCCATAATTTCTACATCACTCTTCTTATTGAAACTGGGAGAACTTTTTTAGTGGAGCGATTTTATCAATTTGTTCATTAAGGGGAGCTTTTTTCGGCTCTCCTCTAAAATACAAAAAACAACGACTGATTTATGTGTTCAGCGCCTGAAGGCCACAATTCTGAATGGATTAATTTGGAACTTGGTCTACTTATTCCTTATAGCCTAACGACGGCAACTATTGATTTTGGTGCATGATTCTCCCCCATGTGTGGTGCCACACCCACTTTCTTTTTGTTAATATTTTGTTTGTAAATGATATATAGGCTGCAATTATTAACAGATTTGGATCCAATTTGGAATGATCC